ATTGGGTATTTTACAATCACTAATGACACATCTCTGAGATGAAGCTAATTAAACCAACATCAAAGTCTTAGTCAGCAACATGACTTGAAATAAAAAGCATATACTAAAACATAATGCCGGAGAACATATAGTCAACAGATAACAATACATAAACAGAATTGCTCAAGCAAAACTGCTAAATATCTTAGTGTGAGCACCTGCCGTGACAGAGGACAATTAAACTGTAGGGACAGAGCACAATGGAAACATAAATTCATATCAATTGTGTATGCTTATCCCATTACCCAGGATTTGTTTATCACATTTTTGGCAGAGGTAAACATCAGTCTCAAACACTTTTTAATTCTGAACATTTAGATACAAACAGCTGCTATGGAATGTGCCATCTAAAAGCTGAACTCCAGGCAAACAGCCAAATATACTAATAAAATATACTATATACAGTATATGAGAGTTGTTTTACCTGCAAAAGGATTTGTATCTCTCCATCCTGTCCTGAGATATACAGAGACATATCTGACAGCACAGCCAGCCCGGCGACCTAACTTCTCTTAATTACAGTTATATAGACAGAACAGAGTATAGTATAGAGACATTGGGGTCTATTCACTATGCTGCCGAGGGCAGCCGAGTGAATGACCGATCAGAAGTGAAGTGAGCCGAACACTGTTTGGCTATTCACTTCAGGCTGGTACGGCTGATTTCAGCCGTACATCGGCTGAAATCCGCCGTACATCGGCCTGCTTCGTGTGGCTTCGGGTCGGCCGAACATGCTCAGCATGTTCGGCCGACCCGCAGTGCAGAAGGAGTTCGATTCAGCCGATCCAACATCTGGATCGGCTGAGCCGAACCTCCGGCAGGCTTCTCACTGCTGTTCCGGCTATTCTTAAAGATGCCGAACAGCAGTGAGTGAATAGCCGAATGCCGCCGAGCGGCATTTGGCTCGGCTGTTCTGCTCGGTCCCTCAGAGGGACCGAGCAGAACAGAAAAAAAGTTAAAAAAGGTAAAAAAAAGTAAATAGTAAACGATTGTGCGGAGCTAGTAGTGACAGCTAGCTCCGCCCAATAGTTTCCTATTGTCCCGCGGCTCTGCTGCTGTAAAAAAAATACGTTAAAAAAAAGAAGCTGCTATGGCCAGATCCCTCGGCAGCTTCGTGAATAGACCCCATTGTCACCTGCAGATTTCTTGTTTCTTGCTTATTTCTGGATGTGCTCCTATCGAGGAGAACTCCCCTCACTTAAGATTAGCACAGGAAGTGTTAGGAAATCTCTTAAAAGGAGAACTATGCGGTTAGGGCTTTTCCCCATAGTTCTCCTAAGGGTAATGGGAGGACACAAACTAGTGTCCTCCCGTCACCCAGAGCTCAGTATACCGCGAGCTACAGCTCGCGGTATACTGAGACGCTGCAGCCGGAATGGATCCCGACAATTCTGTCTGGATCCACACAGCTGCGTGAGTGACAGCTAGCTCTGCCTACCCAGAGGCAGAACCAGCTGTGCCTGCCCCCTCCCCGTCCGTTTCGCCAGTCAGCGCTGGAGGATCAGACAGGGGAGGGGAGAATCCCTGCATTAGTGACAGTCACGGCTCTCTGCAGGGATAGATCGAGAAGTAAGCGAGCGACGGTATGTGTTCGCTCACTTCCCAACCTACTGAGCCGACCTGTGACAGTTTCATTGTCACAGGTCGGCTCAGATTATGAGGCTGAGTGAAAATCACTTGACTCATAATTCTCCTTTAAGTATCGCTACATTTCTTTTAAATAAAAAAAAGTTTTTTGTTTTTTTCTTGAGGGCTATTACAAAAACAGGTGAGGAGAAGGGAATTAGCACAAAACAGGTGCATTTAGAACAGTATTACTGTTACTGTATACAATACAGTGAATAAAACATTTACAGTATCACACTTCTGATCGTAGATGAAGAAATATTCAAACATGGTTTGTACTATGAGAGTTAGATCATCTCTTGTTGTATAGCTAACAATTACTTACACCATAAATATGTATTTTTAAACCAATAAAAATGCCTGTATCCAACTTTTGGCTATTGTTTATGAGGCTTACAACAATACAGTCTGAAGTAAAACAAGGATCCTTTTTAATTCAGATTTCCAAGAACACCCAGTAAACACACAGACTCTAGGACCATTGGTAAACCCATTTCTTGATAAAGGAATTGAATCACCTGTTGCCAGAGTCATCAAAGCAGGTGAAAAGAAACCCATTTTTACTACAGAATAATTTATTGCCATCTATGGATTCCTGTCCTGGTGATACCTGTAGCCCACATTTCTTGTCTTGGTAAGGCTGGCCATACACCTTACAACCATTTTGTTGTGCAATGGTTGTAAGGTCATTAAAATTTTGTACGATCTGCCCATCTTGGACAGGCAGATCATACTTGTGATCATCGCCGAGGGGAGGGCTTGCCGATGATTGCAATGCTGAGCAAGCGCACACTGCCCGTGCGGCTTTCGTCTTCCGAGCACGCCACCAACCCGCAGAAAAGTCGTGCGACCGTACAGTAGATGTGGTCACACGCTGCCCATACACCTGCTGATTATCGTACAATCGCGGGATCACCCACAATTATCGTATGATAATCGCCAGGTGTATGGGCAACTTAAGGGAGGAGAAAGGGACAGAAAATCTCCTCAGTGGGGTCAAACACAGAAAAAAAAAGCAGATTTGAACTCCTCCCCACTCTATCCAAAACCAAAATTTGGCTGGAGTTAGGATTTAATACATTTCTAACATGAAGGGGTAAAATAATATAAAGAGATAAACAGGTGTGAGATTTCAAATAATATAAAGAGATAAACAGGTGTGAGGTTTCAAATTGGCTTAAACATTCATCCCTTAAGCACTGCCGCAAGGAACACCAAGCTGTGTATGCAGATCCTGACACAGGAAAAAATACATTATCTCACCATCCATCCCACAATTTGATGCGCAGGGCCAGAGAGAATTATCTGTGGACCTGGGCATTATTACATGGAGGGCTTTTATACTGTGTGTTTATGTAAACAGTGACAATAAGAAAGTCACACTAAGGGGTGTAAGGTTAGCAGTATGTTCTGACAACTTGTGCTTTAATCTGTCCAGTTTAGGATGTTTTTTCTTCTACAGGTTTTCTTTAAAGTAAACAATTCTAGATAGAAGTACATCGTTTTCATGTTGTGTTTTATTGTTTACATAATCAAGGAATAAAAAAAAGATAAAAACTAAAGTTCTTGTAACAGTTTGGCATTAAAAAGATTCTGACTAATCAAATATAAAATACTAAAAGGTAAATTTTCCATGATGAAAAGCAAGATTTACTAGAATAATCAAATAGACTGCTAACATTGGTCATTTGAGTTAAAACATTCATAGATGTGGATGGCTCACTCATATAGGTCATATAGATGGCAGTTTGATAAGCAAAAGTCTTTTTTCGGTGTGTGACAGTTATTTGGCCTATGTGATAATAACACGTTTTGGGCCGATGTGATAATAACACATTTTGGCCTATGTGATAATAACATGTTTTATACCCAGCTTCATGTATAAAAACTTGATGGGTCTCTCACCCTACAAAAAACAATGTGTTTATTGCAATCTTTTCGAATAGCGAGTCCCACCGCACTCCTGACTGAGAAGACCCAAATATTGTCGGGTGCTGAAGTGGCCACGGATGGCACCGCCAAATACCAAATAAGCAGGATGAATGGTTACCAGCACTCCAAGTTTTCTTCAAAACAAAATCCTTTCATTAATTCTAGCAGGTCATATCATCATGCACGAATAAAAGGATTGCTGGTGTCTTTGTCTCATTTTCTGTTCCCATATCACAGGGACAGGAAGAGATGGGAAAACTCCTCAATCGGGGCAAAAATCTCCTAGAGGGTATAATACTTTTTATGTATTATTTAAAACCCAAACCTGGTTTTGGCTGAAGTTGGGCTTTAAGGGACAACTGCACCTGAGAGGACCATTATGGTAATTAAAAAATATTTTGTATTCATTAGATTATATACTAAGGTACTTACAAAATTAGGTTCTCTCTACTTTGGAAAGTACCACTCTCCACTATGGCAGCTGGTTTAGAAACATTTAAGAGACCTTATTAGCGAAAAAAAACTTTCAAAATCCAAGCGAGTCCATGCCTCAAGGAAGAGAATGGAAATATGAGGAGCAATTTTGCAGTATAGCTCCCTTAGGCCTTGATATTAAATATACTTTAGTGTAACCTTCTACGAAAATAAACCTTAAGTGGAGAATAACATTTTAATGTATTCAACTAAACTGTGAACATCAAAAACACAATAAGGATGAAAACAAAAATTGGACATATAATTCAAACCAAACTATGGGGAAAAAAAATCTTAAAAACATAAATTTTATACAATATATGTATGAAAATGGCATATAATATGACTGAATCATGAATAAAAGATCAAAGATGCTTTTTTCAAGCTTACCTACAACTAGACATAATATACTTTTACCTCCTGCCTCCCTGGCCCAACCCCCTCCACCCTATGTTAAAATAAGATATGTTAAAAGAACCCCTTAAACGCTTTACACTCTTGCGAAAAATGCAGATCAAAGCTCCTTATCCCAGACATTAGTCAACTAATCTGACTAACATGTCCAGAAACAGCCAAACAGCAAATCTGTTTAAACTCTGGTTCTCCCTTTCTGCAGAGACCAAAGCCTCCCATATGACCAACACCGCAACATTTTGACATGAAAACCTTGGGAAGCTTTTTCTGCAAAACAGGTTGTTCAAAGCTTTTTTTTTTTAAACATTTATAAAGTTTATTTGCAAAGGAAAGCATAACGTTACACTTAGGCTTCTCCTATTATCCTCTACTAAAATTGCATTGATAGTTTAAGGTAAGAACACTTTCAACTAAATAATGATCTGGTGACCATGGACATATGTTTATTAAAGTAGAGATATTGCTCAAGGCTTTGCCAGAACCCATCATTTTATATCAGTAGGATCAATTAAAGCATAACCAATATTCTCTAGTACATTATAAGAAAAGCTAAATTTTGACATTGTTAACCAGAAGCTCCATCCTTTTCAGTTTCCTCTTATTCTTTGGCATTGGCTTCTTATACTGGCCATTTTTAAGTAGATGTTCCTTGCTGTGATGAATCTGAGCACCGTGCTGTAGTTGGAAGGAGCACAGAGCTTGAAGAGGACGGAGAATCGCCTGCCAAATAAATTATAATAGGAAGAAATAAATCAATACAGGAAATAGCTTAAAGATAAATTGCCAACGCTGGATTTTTACAGTACCCACTTTTGCCTACTGCTAGTCAAGGCTGCACATTTATCCTAAAATACTGTTCTGCGATCCCATATTTCCTGTGACAATTATAACTAATTCTAATACGATCACTACAATGTCAACATTCCATAACTTGTTCTGTCCTGTGCTATACAGCTGCAGGGGTGCCGCCAGTGACAGTGGCACGATAAGAATAGATCAGGCTTTAAAAGGACAAGGCCCTTTGACTTATCACAGTGCAGATCCAGAAGGCACCCTGTGGCCCCAAATACAGTAAAGATGGAGAGTGCCAGAGCAGGACCAAGGAGGCATTCCCCATCCAGACAGTCTTTGCCCCCAATAGGACATACTAAGAAGTCTTCAGGGACAGGGTACCACCAGTGGGTGAACTGCAGGTCTGGACCATTAAATCACTCTGCGGCTGACTCGCACAGTAAACTGGGTATCTGGAGAGCGACCCAAGCAGACAAGCTCTAGGGTCACATGACAAGGCCTGCCCTGCATCTTTAGCATGGTGTCTCCAAAGCCATGCTGAGAACCAGCTAATCTGGGAACTGTAAGAAATTAGCTCTCTGGCTCTGTAAGTAGGTGAAGAAGCTTAACTGGGGTCTAGTGGAAAGGGACAGAAGAGAGTGAAGACATCCATTCTCCTAGGACACTAGCATAAAACTGGAACATGATGGAAGTGGAAGGGGTTATAGTTGTCCAATCTCCTGTAGGCAGCAGTACACATATCTGGTCTCAGAATTAAGCCTTTTTCTTCTGTGGCGCGTGTGTGTGTTCTTCATCACAAAATCTAATTAATTAAAGTGCTGAAACAATAACTATCTGTGTTTCCTAATAGTAATAACACATTTCAACTCTTAATGCTGTGATAAACGCAGGCAGCTTTTATTTCAGTCAGCTTGCTAAATAACTGAACTATTCTTCTTCCTATAGAGTCACACTGGCATGAATTATAAAGAAATAATGTTTTGTTTAAGAAATCTGGTTATTAACTCAACACCTTATGAATTCAGAGCTAAAAAGTAAGAGAAAACAATAATAAAAATGAATATAAGAATTAAAATAAAGAATTATGCAGTGATTCTTTGTGGAGCATCGAGATAATATTTTGTGAAATGCCAAAAGTGAAAAGCAAAGATGGCATAAAAGAAAGGGAAGAGACCAGGGAGAAAAAATTGGGAGAACAAAACGGAAGCACACTGATATGAAAATGGGGTTCTGATGAACTTTTGTTGAGAAGGCTACTAATGTGAAGGGGGGATAGTGATGTAAAGGGGGATTCTGATGTGAAAGAGGGGACTCTGATATAAAAGGAGGGGACTGTGATGTAAAGGATGCTCCTGATGTAAAGGGGGGCTCTGGTGTGAAAGGGAGAATCCCCTTTTGTTATGTGTTTTTGTTTGGCATACCCCCTTAAATACCCCCTTAGTATCTACGATAAGGTTCTGGTATGGATTTTGGAGGGGCACATGTTTTGTTCAATTTTGTATTTGAGTTTTTTACATTTTATACTATGGTGCCTTGAGATTTTGCATACATTTAAAGGGTGCTGTGACTGAGAAAAGGTTGAAAAACACTGATGTATGGCATCTAAATAGGACTGTGCAGGTCCATAGACAACAGAGTTAGACAACAGGGCGGTTCGGCTGCGTGGATCCGCCGACATGAACGATCCCATACATTGCTATGGGGATCGATCATGCTCAGTGTGATCCGAACTGCTGACCCTTTTTTGCCAGGCTGATCAGTGCGGTTTCCATACAGCTTTCAATGGAACCGCGCTGATCAGCACGGTTTTGGGCATTTCCAATGACATTCAGCACTGAAGCGCAATTAAAAACTCCCAAAACCTCCCTTTTGAGATCAGCGAAGAAACCGCGCTGATCTGCAGATGCCTTGGTGTGAATAGGCTCTTAGTGATTCTAGTAATTAGCACTTAGCAACAGACCTGATCAGAGCCATGCCGCTCTTCCTCTGTCAACAATTCTGTGCGAGGACACTTGTGTTGAGGGGTATGTCTGTTACTTAGCTTTACCAGCACGAAACACTCAAGGAAAGGAAGGAATTAGTAGAAAAAGGGGTATTTTAAGGCCTTTAAAGAGCTAAAAAGGTGTGAGACTTTATTTGGGCTTTAAACTAGACAAAGTGACAGCTGATGACAGACACATTTTACCATATTTTACTCCCTTGCTAACTTCACTGCACAAATTCGCAGTTGGAGGTGCACAAGGATGTCACAGAATTGCTATTTTTAATAGCAATACTAATGATTAATTGTATTATGTGAAACTAAAAGTGTTACATAGTTAGTCAGGTTGAAAAAAATATTTTCAAGCAAAAATGTTTTTAATGTTGCATGACAGGCCCACTTTACTACCCACCTCTTGAATTGCAGTGTTTTTCTCCATTATTGAAAGGGCAATAGCAGCACATTCCAGAGTTGAAAGACAAGTGTTCGTAGGCTGAGTTCGAATAACATACTGACTCGATACAGTTGTTTTTAACTGCACCTGTAAGAAAAGTAAGAACAGATCATTGCAGATTACCACAAGCCTTAGTCTAAGCACTTTCTCTGCTTTCTTGTGCCAGTTGGATGGGTACAGTCACCTCTCAAGAACTTCCATAGCCAAAGCAATCAAATGTTATAAATCGGGGTTTCACAAAGAACATTTTTACACTATAACAGATTTTGAGTTATTTGTTTCTGAAAAAAAAGACAGATAAAACGTCTAAATATGTATAAATCTTCGTTGCAACAGCTGAATCTAATTTAATGTAAGAAACTTTCCACTCTAGAAATGTTTTATTAAGCATGAACAGTGCCAACAGAAATGCAGTACATTTTTTATTTCTGTACTAATTTCGGTCTTCTTTTTAATAAATGAAAAGGATCCCAATATAATATTTAATCATAATCCCTACAGAACATGTTTCCAAGAGTGGCCAAATATCACTTTCAGTATAATACCATTAAAACAAGGATTAACCTTGATCGACCTATTCTTCCTTGCAAGCAGTCAAAATATAAATATCAATCACATTTCACAAACATGTGTGAGGGATGAAAACAATAACTTTCTTTTTGAGAAAATATTATACACAGTTCTACAAAGACAATGGATATATTTTCCCCTCTAAAAGGTAGTCATTTAATGTGCAGTGTTCAAAGGAGATGTATTTCTTAATTATATGACTAGCAGTTCAATTAGAAATAATATTTACTGAAAGGACCAGTAAACTTAAAATGAAAACGCAAAAGTTAAATTATGTGAAGAACTACAAAAAAGAGAATATTAAAAAACGTTATTTGTAAATCACCTTTAAACAGTAGTGTCATAGGTGGCTAGCATAAAGCTGAACTCCAGACAAACTAATAATAAAAATAGATGAAAAAAAATCTACATATAGGAGATGTGTACTTGCCAAAGGACTAGTATTTCTCTCCTATCACTTATGGGATTTACACAACCCTTCTGAGATAGCTCATCCCTGTCTGGCAGGACAGAAGACGTATTTTTTTCAGCGGCAGTACACTAATACTTTCAGGTCTTGCCCCATCCCCAACCAGTGAATGGACAGTAGGAGGAGAGGCAGAAGACTAATAAGATCAGCACTCAGTCCTTTCCTTTAATCACCATTTTCCTTGCATGGCAACACGATTGACTAGCCCCTTCTGCTACTTCTTCTCCCAGTCCCAGATTTGCTGTAGAAGAACTGTAAGCTGATACCAAGTAAAATTCCGGTACTTACATGAACAAAAATAATGATGTAGTGAATACAGAGCTGGGTCAATTCGTGTCTCTTTTATCTGCCTGGAGTTCAGCTTTAAGTCAAGATATGTTTGTTGAGTTGTCTACATTCTCAAGCACATGAATATATACTACTAGTTCATTCTTCATTATTAGGTTTAAAGTGTATTTCCACTTTCCCATCCAAATTGGGATAACACCTATTTTATATTTGTTACATGTTCCCATTGTTACACCCCCCCCCCCCCCACAAAAAATACTAATATATAAAATAAAAAAATGCTTCTTGCAGTTTAAATTGTTTGTGCTTGGGTAAGGGTTTTAAGAGTTACATTTGTTTCTTGCTTCTATTTCTTTGGAATGTTAGCAGGGGCTGTAAGGGGTCTAAGGTGGCTTGTCCATTGTATGTTAATGGTGGTTATCAAATAAACACAATCCTCAAATTTCAGTCCAAAGTCTCATCATTAGGACACACCACTGTGAAAGGGCTAAGAAAAACCAGGAATCAGCGATCTTGCCTGCTTTAATAAAACATCTAAAAGGTAAGATTTTTTAAAAGTTATTTTTCAGTATTCTGTGTGAACAGAACAAATAAACATATTGAGGGGTTTTCTCAAAGTTGCTGCTCCCTTGCTGGCAAGATTCTGATTCATTCTTGCCAGCCAGGAAACAATTTCCATTGGGCAGCGTGGCATCAGTAACACAATGACAATCAGTGACACAATCACCGGTGTGACAGCTGGCCTTATGCTAGCAAAACTGTTAAAAAGAAATAATCAATCATATCGTCTAATTTTTTTAAAAACATTCTGTCACTTTGAAATCATCATTCGTTAGAATAAATAAAAAGGTTGACTTTGTCAGAGTTGGACATTTCACCAGAACCACTTCTTACATGTTGCTGAAAATATTTATCTACTGGTGCCCCAAACGAGTAAGCGTAATTACAATAGCAATAAAAACTTGACAAAGTTTCTAACCCTTACTCTGTCCACAACCAGTAAATGATTTAGCTGGAGTTACAATGGAACTATTTTAATATTAGGTACTAAAATACTTACAGCCATTACATTTCATTTGCTTTGTTATATGTTTTATAGTCTTGCAGCTACAATAGCTGTATGAAGTTACATTAACATCTTTATATCGTTACAGCATCACAGTAAATAAACAGAGCTGTTTCCTTGCATCATCACCATGTCACAGAGTGCACACTGGTAATAGGATTCATATAAACACAGCTCTAAAATTCACTGACACAAATAACCAAAGCAGTAAATAAGCTTAGTCTATGCAGAAATTTTACAACAATGAACTGATGCCTTTTGACCATCTGATAATGCTTTGAACTCTTCGTGATACAGCCCTTTATGTATATTCTATCTTACTTTAAAACCATGCTCTAATATATTCTTATAATCTGTTTTCAGTTTGGTTTTTAAGTTCCCTGTGGAGATACTGAGTGCTTGGCTTCCAGTGACTCGGTGGGCAATAGATTACACTTCGGCTTATCGTCTTTGTTTGAATGTGAAAGAAAAAGTTTATTCCGATAGGGCTGTCAGTGGTGCTGAAATCATATAATACAATTGGAAAATATAGAATATAAAATAGCATCTAGTAGAACAGAACATTTTTTAACACATAAAGGTGGAACAGGAAAAAGTACTTTGCAGTGGAGTCATATCCTTATTGTATGGGGTGTTTCATGGTTATGAATAGTTTTGGTTATGGTTATCAATATTTGGTTAATGGTTATCAATATTTTGATATCGTTACTATGGTTTGTAAGTTCTTCTCTATCTAAATTGGTCACTGTTGGTGCTATTAAGTAAGGCTGTAATGGACTGAATTGCTTTAAAGGATACAGATATAATTGCAGTACACTTTGCATGTTCAGAATTATTTATTTCAAAAAGCCAATCTAGTCAACAAGAAAAAAAAGTTAAGAATTTATAGCTTGCAGAATTACAGGCTTGGGTCTTTGAATGTAAAAATAAGAGTCTTAGGCTCCATTCACACCTGTATGTTTAGGTGCAATTAGGGATCCCTGAATCAGATACTGAGGCTTTTCTGCAGCAGGAATCCCTAGTCAGCCATTTACAAGGGGCAGCTGTCACCCATTCAAGTTAATGATCAGGTCCAGGGAGAGTGGTTGATTTCTAACCACATGTAATGGTATCACATACAATCACATACAGTGTGCTGGCGTTTAAATGCAGCGACTATCACCTGATCATTAACTTTAACAGGTGAGAGCCGCCGCTAATAAACAGATATTATGGATTCCTGCAGCAGGAAAACGCACACCTCTTTAATGATGTAGGGGTCGTGGACAGAACCACGACATAGTGGGTAACCAGGCATCAGAGACATCAAGAAGTATGTCAGATGCTCCAATGGAGCAAAAGTTGGCATTGAGGCTGGTAAAGGTTAGAAAAAATGGGGTAGCTAGAAGTTAAACAGAAAAAAGTTAAAGCCAACAAGTTATTGTAGACCATGTAAAATTATTTTACTGTTCCTGGATTTCAGGCCACATCTGGCCCATGAACTTGCACTGATAATGAGGCGAAGTAAAGCACAATTGTGCAGTTCTGCTAAGTTGAAAGCCTGTGATGTGCAAATATGACTGCCACACAGAACCTTTCTTTCCATCTGTGTCCTTAATCAGCTCCTGCTCTGCATTGGCGTGTATCTAAACTCAAATACTTAAACCAATGTAAACCAAAGTGGGGCAGCACATTGGTGTAGTGGTTAGCACGTCTGCCTTGCAGTACTAAGGGTCTGTATACTATCTGCAAGGAGTTTGCATGTTCTCCCTGTGCTTGCCTGGGTTTTCCTTCGGGTACTCTGTTTTCTTCCCACACTCCAAAGACATTAGGTTAATTGGCTCCTTTCTAAATTGGCCCTCATATGTATGAATGTGAGATAGGGACCTTAGATTGTAAGCTCCTTGAGGGCATGGACTGATGTGAATGTGCAACTATGTAAAGCACTGTGTAAACTGTCGGTGCTATATAAAAACCTGTAATAAATAAATAAAAAAATTATATTTTGTTAAACATGTTCCAGTAAGGTCAAAAAGTTTACTCAAACTTTTTTACATGTCCCACATTCAATTATACCAAAAAAGGTGTATCCATGGACAGATCCCTACTAGGGTGGCAATGCTTATCGAATTCAACTACAGCATTGACACCCTTTCATGTGCACTTCTGAGTTGGATTTCAAGCAGCTGTGCCAACACACAATGAACTGGAACATTCTGGTGTAATCACTGCAGTAAAATTGTGATGCTCAGTAGATCATGGAAAATACACACATCAAAAAGGAGTTTTATACAAAAAAAAACCTAAAGCAAGTGCTTAACATCAAAAAATCAAACATTAATAAAACATTAACAAACAGCAAGGGGAAAACCTCCCCGCCGGACACCGCCGCCGTGCTTCCCGGGCTATGTTGCCCCTACCAAGTACCTGTGGGGCCTTTTAAAGCATCTTCTGTGGACTTTTTGGGGTACTGCAGTTTTTCGCCGTTTCACGGACGGGCGCAATTTGTAAACTGGGCATGTTGGGTATCGTTTTACTGTGTGTGGGTGTACTGTGTTTAAATACAGACTCTCACAAATATAATGCTTGGCTTCACAAATTGGCACTAAGCATGCTGTACATGGTTTGCAAATGCATTCACTCTGACTTATGTGAAGGAATAAATACATGTCATAAGCTGATTTCAAACTTTAACCTCATGACTTAAATAGATAT